TGCCTGAATCATAGGCGAGGACCCTGCTGCTGAGAGCTGTCAGAAGCTCGAGGGCAATACCTGGCAATATGCCTCGTGTCACCACACGTGAAACAAGCCCTCGGCTGCTGAGAATAACGGAGTGGTGGTGTGCTGATAGGTGATGATGGTGAATTGAAGAGCTGCTGGTCAGAATAATGCGTCTGAGAACCACGACCACCTGAAGTACCATGAGAGACCTGGAGAGCTGACTGAAAGAGCCTCGGAGGATGGCCTCTACCATAAGAATCCCCACCTCCAGACGAGGTACCACTGAACCTACCTGCATGACGGGGCCTCTTATCTAACCCATGACCACCTCCCCGTGCAAGAGCCATCTCAACTCTACCGGCCGCATTGGCCGTCTCCTGAAAAGAAATCTCACTCTCGGCCCCCATAGCCATCTGGAGACGGATCGGCTGAATCAAACCATCAATAAACCTCCGCACCCTCTCTCTCTCGGTGGGGAGTATAACAATAGCATGGCGAGCTAGATCAATGAACCGGGTCTCATACTGTGTGACTGTCATAGAGCCCTGCTGAAGGCGCTCAAACTGCCTGTGAAGAGCATCTCGCTGAGTAACGGGGAGAAACTTCTCCAAGAACAACTCTGCAAACTGGTCCCAAGTCAGAGATGGCGACCCTGCTGGTCTGGCTAAACAATAGTCCCTCCACCATGTCTTGGCGGATCCAGATAGACGAAAGGTGGCAAAGTCGACCCCATTGGTCTCCACAATACCCATAGTCCGAAGAACCTCATGGCAGCTATATAAGAAATCCTGGGGGTCCTCTGAAGAAGCACCGCTGAATGTGATGTGAAGAGCTTGGTGAACCTATCCAGCTTCCACAAAGCATCTGCGGACATAGCCGCTCCATCGCAGGTCTGAGTCACAATACCCGGTTAGACTGCCACAGCTAGCTGAACCACTNAAGCATCCCTATCACAGACCAGAATAGTAACTGTAATAACTGCATCTGAAGACTCAGCCTCTGGCCTGGCTGGAAGAGCATAACACCGGGGCTGGGCCCCACCTCCCTGACCCATATCCCTAGGACGATCGGCTGCCGGCTGGCCTCTACCTCTGGCGGTCCGAGCTCCACCTCTATGACCTCTACCCCCGCCTCTAGGTGGCTGGGCGGCCTGTGGATTACCTGATGCCTGTATCATAGGACGAGGACCCTGCTGCTGGGAACTGCTCGAAGCTCGAGGGCAAAATCTGACAATGTGACTCGGGTCACCACAAGCGTAACAAGCCCTCGGCTGCTGACCCTGTCGACCTGAATGTCCACCCCGAAAACTCTAAAGTGGTGGGGCACTGATGGGTGCTGATGGTGAACTGTGAGGCTGCTGGTCAGAATAATGCGGCTGAGAACCACGACCACCTGAAGTACCATGAGAAACCTGAAGAGCTGACTGAAAGGGCCTCGGAGGATGGCCTCTACCATAAGAATCTCTACCTCCAAACGAGGTACCACTGAACCTACTTGTATGACGGGGCCTCTTATCTGACCCATGACCACCTCCCTGTGCAAGAGCCATCTCAACTCTACCGGCCGCATTGGCCGTCTCCTGAAAAGAAATCTCACTCTCGGCCCCCATAGCCATCTGGAGACGGATCGGCTGAATCAAACCATCAATAAACCTCCGCACCCTCTCTCTCTCGGTGGGGAGTATAACAATAGCATGGCGAGCTAGATCAATGAACCGGGTCTCATACTGTGTGACTGTCATAGAGCCCTGCTGAAGGCGCTCAAACTGCCTGTGAAGAGCATCTCGCTGAGTAACGGGGAGAAACTTCTCCAAGAACAACTCTGCAAACTGGTCCCAAGTCAGAGATGGCGACCCTGCTGGTCTGGCTAAACAATAGTCCCTCCACCATGTCTTGGCGGATCCAGATAGACGAAAGGTGGCAAAGTCGACCCCATTGGTCTCCAGAATACCCATAGTCCGAAGAACCTCATGGCAGCTATATAAGAAATCCTGGGGGTCCTCTGAAGAAGCACCACTGAATGTGGTGGTGAAGAGCTTGGTGAACCTATCCAGCCTCCACAAAGCATCTGCGGACATAGCCGCTCCATCGCAGGTCTGAGTCACAATACCCGGTTAGACTGCCACAGCTAGCTGAACCACTGGAACCTGAGCCTGGGGAGCTACCTGCTCCGGAGTACGTGTAGCAAGAGTCTGAACTCCTCCTCCAGCCTGGGAAGTGGCTGGTGCTACTGGAAGCAAACCCGCTTGAGTGACGCTCTCCATAAGGCCTACCAATCTGACCAAAGCGTCCTGAAGAACTGGGGTGGCTATAAACCCCTCTGGGACCTGAGCTGGGCCCACCGGAGCCGCTGGAGCTGGAACCTCCTCGTCATAATCAATTTGAGGCTCCACCTCTGGGGCTGCTGCTCGGGGATGAGCTCTGCCCCTGCCTCGGCCTCGGCCTCGCCCTCTGCCCCTCGTAGGAGCTGCTGCTGGGGGCTCAGGCTGCTGCGCGGTAGAAGAGGAAGCACGTGTTCTCGCCATCTGCGAAAGAACAGAGTAGAGAGACAATCAGTATTTGAGGAACAGAATCGCACGACAAGAAAGAACAAAAGTGAAATTTTCCTAACTCTGTAGCCTCTAGGGGATAAATACAGACGTCTCCGTACCGATCCCTCAGACTCTACCGAGTTTGTCCGTGAGTTGTGAGACCTATGTAACCTAGTGCTCTGATACCAACTTGTCACGACCCGGATTTTCCACCCTCGGGAGTCGTGATGGCGCCTACTATTAGGAGCTAGGCAAGCCAATTATTTATTATCTCTTTTAGCAAACCTCGACATTATTAAAAACAACGAAACATTTAATAGAAAAGCGGAAGTCTTAAATATAAATAACTGAAACAATGCGGAAGTTCAATACAACTCTACCCAAGAACTGGAGTCACAAACTCACGAACGTCTAGAGAATGCTAAATACAATGTCTGAATAAAACATAGTTTTGTTTGTTCCGGTACAAAGGATAACAAACTAAAGTAAAGATAGAAGAAACTCCGGGCCTGCGGACGTCAGCAAGGCTACCTCGGTGTCTCTGGACTAAAGTCAACTCCCAAATCTACTATTGCTGTCCAAAAGCTGCTCTGGCACCGTGATCTGTGCAAAAAGATGCACAGAGTGTAGCATCAGCACAACCGACCCCATGTGCTGGTAAGTGCCTGGCCTAACCCCGGCGAAGTAGTGACGAGGCTTGACCGTACTACCAAACAAACCTGTGCAGTTCAATATATATGCATGCAATATAAAGGTATACAGAAATTAACCAGTCAAGGGGGGAGGGGGAGCATGCTGTAGGGGCTGTAACAGTTCAGGTATAAAATCAATAATTAAGGAATGAAACAGTTCAACTACAATATCAACGAGAGTAGGAAATCAACAGTTGCATGGCACCATCCTTCGTGCTTTTACTCTCATTCTCACCCAAACAATCATATAAAGTGCACGGCATCACCCTATGTGCCTTACCTCACAAAATGATGGCACGGAATGATCCTTTGTGAATAAACACTCATATCATGGCACAGAATGTTGCTTCGTGCATTAGTAATCATATCATGGCACAGAATGTTCCTTCGTGCATTAGTATTCATATCACAATCGTGCACGGCATCACCCTTCGTGCTTTATCACTCGTCCTCACCCAAACAACAATCACAAACAATGGGGCGAGGGAATAAACAAACAAAATAGGAATCCCGGCAAGGGAACAATAACAACAATTTAAATATCCCGGCAAGGGAGAAAAAGTCTACCAAACAGCAAAACATCCCGGCAAGGGAATAACCAATAACTCATTAGCTTTCTTTCATTTCTTACTTCACATCTCACTCTATCACTTGAGCCAATGCTCCCAAGAATTTTATAATCTCAGATACCTTTTCAATTCGTATCACAACCAAGCCAAAACACCACGAAAATCAAATGATTATAATATTTTTCACATGTTCTTTACAATATATAGAAATCCTCAATTAACATGGAATTCATAACAAATCACCCTTTAAGGACTCACGGTCATGCTAGACACCAATGTATAGATACTCGTAACCATGCCTATACATCGTACTCGATCAATTAGCAAATAGCAAACAAGACTCAACTCCTATTCCCTCAAGCTAGGGTTAAACCAAACACTTACCTCAAAGTCTTGAATTCCACTCAATCCTCAACAATCGCTTTACCGCGCGATTCCACCTCCAATTTGCTCGAATCTAGTGACAAATTGCTCAATTACTTTAATAAACACTAAATGAATCAATTTGAATGCATGAAAATGAATTTCCCAAGTTTTTCCCAAAAATTCTAAAATCGCCCCCAGGCCCACGTGGTCAAAACCCGAGGTTCGAACCAAAACCCGGTTACCCATTCCCCCACGAACTCAAATATATAATTTGTTTTGAAAGCGGACCTCAAATCGAGGTCCAAATCCCCAATTTTTAGAAAAACCTAGGTTCTACCCAAAAACCCCAATTTCACCCATGAAAATCCTTGATTTTAAGTGGAAAACATGTTAAATGATGTTAAAGATTGAAGGAATTGAGTAAAAATCGACTTACAAATGTTTTGGGATGAAGTTTGTTCTTGAGAAATCGCCTATGATGTTTGGATTTTGAAAGAATGGTGAAAAGTGACTTGAAATTCGTCTAAATATGAAAAATGCAGGTTGCAGATATGGGAAATGCGAAGTTGGGTTCGCAATTGCGAACCCTGCAGGCTTGGGAAATGCGACACTACTGTTCGCATTTGCGAACTGAGGCTGGCCAAGGGACCTTCGCATTTGCGAAAATGGTCTCGCATTTGCGAACCAGTGGCCGTCGCATTTGCGACGCCTGGCTTCGCATTTGCGAACCTTGGCCTGCTTAGGCTGGTTTCGCATTTGCGAAAAACCCTCCGCATTTGCGATAGCTGGCCTTCGCATTTGCGAACTCTGGCTTCGCAAATGCGAAAACTGCAGATCAGCTGATACCAGGTTTTTTCCAAAATGAAAAATGCAATCCAACACCTATCCAAAACTCTCCCGAGCCCTCGGGGCTCCAAACCCATTATACACACAACCTCATAAACATCCTACGGACTTACTCGTGCGATCAAATCGCCAAAATAACATCAAAAACAACGGATCAAACCTCCAAACTCATGAATTCTTCCAAAATTTCATAAAACATAAATTTTCCATTTTAGGTCCGAAACACGTCAAACGACGTCCGATTTCAACCAAACTTTACAGAAAGCGCTTAAACCATATATAAGACTTGTACCGGGCGCCAGAACCAAAATACGAGCCCGTTACCACAGTCTTTTAATCAAATTTCATTTCCAATTTCCTTAGTAATTTTAGAAAAACAATTTCACAGAAAAATTCATTACTCGGGCTCTAGACCTCGGAATTCGACTCCGGGCATATGCCCGAGTCCCATATTTTTCTACGGACCCTCCGGGACCGTCAAATCACGGGTCCGGATCCGTTTATCCAAAATGTTGACCGAAGTCAACTATATTCATATTAATATCAAAATTTAGCATTTTTCACACGGAGTTCATATTTAAGCTTTCCGGCTACGCGTCCGGACTGCGCACGCAAATTGAGGCGACTAAAAATAAGGTTTTCAAGGCCTCGGAAGCACGGTATGAATGAGAAAATAGGTGATGACCCTTTGGGTCATCACATAGCTGGATACGAAAAGTGGGCTAGGTTGTATGCACCTGTTAACAGGGGATGGACAATGACGTCAAATATTGTTGAGTCAATCAATGCAGCACTAGTTTCAGCAAGGGAATTGCCAATATACGACTTCCTCGAAGAAGTTAGGAAGATATTTGGACGTTGGAATTGTAGTAACCGCAAAGAAGCTACACAGACATACACGACGCTTGGAAAAAAATACCAGGAGATGCTGACTTTGAATAAGACAATGTCTACACGTATGACTGTAAGTTTTATTTTAATGTCATTGTATTATATAGCTTAATTGTTTTCTGAAATAACTGACATGAATACAACTGAATACAGACATTTTTTATAATACAACTGCCATGAATACATATGAATACAACTAAATTCAAACACATACAAGACATATTTTATCGAAGATCTGATATGAATACAACTGAATATAACTAAAAACATGGTGCTAAAACTATTCGAATACATCAGAATACAACTAACAAATATGTATTATACATAATTTTAATATGTATTGTCATGCCGTATCCTTCTAATGTTTTTGTTACACTTCAGTTGCCTAAAGTACAACAGATTTTTGATAAGATAAGACGTAATTACAGTTTATAGTCTGCCGGTCTAAATATATGATGTATTCATTTGTATGCAAATATTTCAGTTGTATGTAACTGAGTAGTTCAGCATTATACATATGGAAATTCAGTTATATGTGCTCAAAACTTATATTTCTATTTTTAAATGTAGGTGGTACCATCAACTGAATACTTACATACGGTTAACGATGGAGGGAGGCATTACAGAGTCTGCCTGTTAGAGAGAAAATGTGTTTGTGGGATGTTCCAAGTTGATGAATTACCATGCCCACATGCCTGGGCTGTATTGAAGAGCAAGTTTCTAATGCCAGAAGAATATTGCTCTAACTATTACAAACCAAATACTGTTGTAATGACATACGATGTGCCTGTGTACCCGCTACCGGACAGAAATGACTGGAACATACTAGCACATGCTGCAGAGGAGGTTGTACTACCACCCAAATGGAAAAGACCTCCTGGAAGGCCAAAGAAGAAGCGCGATAAACCTTTAAGTGAGTTGCCGCAGCCGAAAAATCAACATTCATGTAGCATATGTGGGCAAGGAGGACATAACAAGCGAACGTGTAGAAATGCTCCACATAGCATTTAGTTAACACTCTGACATGTATTGGTGCTTCAACGATTTGTCAATAATTATGATGACATTGTCAATTAATAAATTCTCATTGTTAAGTAATAATTTCTAAAATGCCTTTCGTGAATAGATTCTGGATGCATTTAGTTGCAGTAATGTGTTGGATACATTAGAATACAGCCTTGTCCACATATACTTTGACATATTATTATAGACAGTGCCTGAGTTATATATATAACTTGTCAAAATACTTCGGAATACAACTATGTAGTCAGCTATATTATAAAAAATAGGTTGAATACATATAACATGATTAGATTCTGTATACAGTTAGTTTCAGTATTAAGTTGAATACAATCGAATACAACCTTGTCCACATATACTTAGACATACAATAATAGACAGTGTCTGAATTCAATATAGATAGCTAGTCAGAATACATCGGAATACATATATATACTCAGCTATAATATAACAATTTATGCAAATACGTATAACCTGTTCAATACATCTGAATTTGTATTCTTTAATATGTATTAACTGAATTTGAAAGATAAATATTAAAGAATACAACTGAAAACATATGAATACAGCTGAAAAATACAGCTGAATACAACTGAATACAGATGAATACAAAAAATACATCTGAATTCTTTAATATAACCTACCATCAGTATACATAAAGTTTCTGCCTTTGATATTAACCTGTTCAAAACGTATAACCTGTCAAGCCAAGTTACTGATTATTAATAAATACTTATATCCTGTAAGATACATATGAATATAAACTGAAGAATAAGCATTAATACTTACGAAGAAAACAATGAAACATCGATTGAAAAGTTGCAATTGTCATACATGAACACTGTTGATAGAGTGATGGTTTGTTCTAACTGAATACCATCTTCACCAAAAAAATTACTCAAAAAACAGTATTCACCTAAAAATAACATTCTAAAACTACATTAACATAAAGCTACTCTAACACTATCTGCAACTTTGAATCTGACTTCGTGATTTGCCTAGCAATCTTTGAGGGTGCTTCATTCTCGCTTATGGCATCAGCGTCTATCTTCCGCATAGCATAGTCCCATAGGAGAGCACCATATCTTTGACGGAGTAGATTGGAATCAAATTGTAATGACCCGACCGGTCGTTTTTTAGAATTCACGCCCCGATCCCCTATTTTCTGTTCCCCTAAGTTCATTTCTGCTATTTTGTTTTGCCGGGACGTTCGGTGTTGAGTTTTGGAGAGTTTTGGGACACTTAGTCCCTAAATGAGAGCTTAAGAGTTGAAAAATGGTCCGTAATCAGAACAGTGTGAAGACGACCTCGGAATGGAAATCCGATGGTTCCATTAGCTCCGTTAGGTGATTTCGGGGTTGGGAGCGTGTTCGAAATGTGTTTTGGAGGTCCATAGCTAGTTTAGGCTAGAAATGCCGAAGTTTGAATTTTTTGAAGTTCCGGTCCGATAGTGGGATTTTGATCCAAGGGTCAGAATGGAATTCCGGAAGTGTCAGTAGCTCCGTCATGTCATTTAGGATGTGTGTGCAAAATTTCAGGTCATTCGGACGTGGTTTGGTTAGGTTTTTGATCGAAAGCGTATTTTGAGGATTTGGAAGTTCATAAGCTTGATTTTTGGTTTGATCCGTCGTTTCGATGTTGTTTTATGTGATTTGAAACTTCGAGCAAGTCCGTGTTAGGTTATGTGACTTGTGTGCGTGAATAGTCGGGGTCCCGGGGGCCTCGGGTATGTTTCGGGTGGGCTACGAATCCTTTTCTTCTATTTTTGAATTGCTGAACTGCTGCTTCTGATATACTTCTACGCGATCGCGAAGCCTCTCCCGCGATCGCGAAGGTATAATTTTCCTTACTTCGCGTTCGCATAGGCAACCCCGCATTCGCATAGAGCAATTTCTGGAACCTCATATTTTCCTTCAACGCGTTCGCACTCGTGCTTCCGCGATCGCGAAGCTCTGCTGGTCCCTTCTCCGCGTTCGCGTTCCCTTCATCGCGTTCGCGATGCACATTTCTGGGCCAACCCATTTTTTTTCCTCTACGCGATCGCGACCCTTGCTCCGCGATCGCGATGAACAATTAACTGGGCAGACACAATTTAATCCCAAATTCGAGGGTTTCATCATTTTATCACATTTTGACTTCTAGAGCTCGGTCCTTGGCGATTTTTGAAGGGATTTTCACCTGGGCAACTTGGGTAAGTACTTCTCACTCGATTTAGACCAATTTCCATGAATCTCCTCTTAATTTCATCCTTTAATTTCAGATTTTTGATGAAAAAAATAGGTAGAACTTCATAGACCGAATTATTGAGTTTTGAGGGGGTGTTTGACCTCCGATTTGAGAGATTTTTATATGGTTAGACTCGTGAGAGTACGAGGGTTCTGAAAATGCTAAATTTACCCGGTTCCGAGACATTGGCCTGAGGGGCGTTTTGGTCATTTTGCCTAATTTCGTGCTTTAGCTTTGAATTAAATAGTAGGATCAGTTGCTTGAGATGTTATTTACAATGTGTGATTTAATTGAATAGATTTGGGCCATTTGGAGTCGAGTACTCGTGGCAAGAACGTGGTTGCTAGTTGATTTTAGCCGGTTCGAGGTAAGTATCTTGCCTAACCTTGTGTGGGGGACTTCCCCTTAGGATTTGAGTCTTCTTTGTTGATTGTATTCCCTGCACGCGAGGTGACGAGTGCGTGCTCGGATTTATTTGCGGAAAATTGCCCCTTTTAGGCTCTTAGGTCCTTGTAATCACCGAATATGAAGTTGTTCTTGATACGATTGAGTTCCCTGTTATTAGTTCCACCTCTACACGACTTACTTGGAATTTATCTGCCCTTTTTGGTTATTCTTGTTGCCTAAATGACTTTTACTTGTTTAACTGTAGACATTTGCCCTTCTATAGTCACATTATCATTCCTAACTGCTTGTCTTTATCTGGAAAGCATTACTTCTATCTCTCGTGTAATTAATTGGTCTTAATTAGAAAGAAGTTAGATATGCTATGTTTAGTCGATACTTCCTTAATTGTAACTACTTGATTCATGTTAACTTCCTTGTTGTTGAACTTAGTGTTATGGAAGCTTTGTTTCATATTATTTCTCCCTTGTTGAGTTGTTCTTATTGGGCTTAGTATTTCCCTGTTACGGTTATTCCTTGTACGTTAGTTGTACCATCTTTTGGTCAACGGAATCTCTTGAGTTGATTCTCCTGCTTTGTTCCTGTATATATATATTGTCATTTGTTGATATTGTGAGGCACGAGGTTTCTGCCGTGCGGTTGTTGATATTGTGATGCACGAGGTTTCTGCCGTGCAGTTGTTGATATTGTGATGCACGAGGTTTCTGCCGTGCAGTTGTTGATACTGTGATGCATGAGGTCTTTGCCGTGCTATTGTTGTCATTGATGTTTTGCACATGCGGCGTAATAAGGCGGGATATGCTATATGCTTATATGTGGGTTGCGCATGTGGCGGAATAAGGTGGGAACATTGTGATGCACGTGTGGCGAAATAAGGCGGTGCTTATTATGTTACTAATTGCACACATGGCGTAATAAGGTGGGCTATGTCAGGGGTTCATAGTAAAGAATTGTGACGGCCTGTGGAGGCATTCCTATTTGTTTTATATTGTGATTGTGGGTTGCTTACCTGTATGAGCGTTGCCGCTTGGAAGTTGTGAGGAAACATTCGTACGTGCGGTCCGTTCCCCTTTTTATATTTTCTAATTGGTAGAATTCTTGTTAAACACTTGCACAAGCATACATGTAGCCGAACACTCCTATTAGAGGTGAATTCCTCCTGATTTTTGCTAAGGGTGGAGGTATGCCCTCGTTATCCACTATATTTGGGAGAGTGGCCCTAGTTAGCCAGTTAGTGGTCAGTATGACCATGAGATTGATGGGGCACAGGATGCCAATTGTTAGATTTCAGATGCTGGGTCTTCGCGAGTTGTGGTTTGTCCGAGACTTGGTGAAATTGTGGAAAGAGTTGGATAAGACCTTTGTGAACATCATTGTAGGATATGAGTTATTGACTTGTTTTCCCCTTGCTGTGTTGTGACCTTAGGATTTGGATTGTGATTCTGCTGTCATTTCGTATCCTCATTTATTATATTCTCGTTGTTACTGGTTGTATTTTTTTTCCTTATTGTGAATCGTAGCATTCTTGGTCATTCATGCAGTCTTTACATATTTATGTCGTTTCCATTATTCCTATGATTATACTGTTTATTGACCGGTAGGTGCCTTGACTGTTCCTCGTCACTACTCCACCGAGGTTAGTCTTGATACTTACTGGGCACCGCCGTGGTGTGCTCATGCTACTCTTCTGCACATTTTTTGTTGTGCAGATACAGGTACTCCCACTTAGTTCTGTCAGCCTTGGAAGGAGGCGTATCGGTAGAGACTTCGAGGCATATCTGCTACGTCTGCAGACCGAGGAGTCCCTTTCCAGCTTTCTGTAATAAGTATAGCTCTTTTAGTATTTCTCCTTTGTATAGATATTCTTGAGTCAGAGCCTTTTTTTGTATCCCTTAGCTTGTGATATGTGAGTTTTTGGGTTTTGGGAATTGTTTTAGACCTGTGATGTTGAGTTGTACTTGCCATGCGACATTCAGTACACTTTCCTTTAGATATTTGATTTAATTTTCTCTATTTTTCCGAAATTATTATATCTTCTGCAATGTTAGGCTTACCTGGTCATGGGGACCAGGTGCCATCATGACATGTTTACGGTTGGTGAACTAGGGTCGTGACAAGTTGGTATCAGAGCTCTAGGATCATAGGAGTCACAGATCACAAGCCGGTTTATTAGAGTCTTGTGGATCGGTACGGAGACATCTGTACTTATCTGCGAGATGCTATGTAACCGTTAGGAAAATTTCCACTTCATTTGACTTCCCTGTCGTGCGAGATTTTGACATTCACAATCCTGAACCTCTATCTTCCACTCTCACAGATGGTGAGGACACGTACTACCCGAGGTGATCAGGCACCCGCGC